CTCGGAGCCCACCGGGGCCCTGCGTGGCCATCGGCCGCGGGCATGAAGCGGGACCGCTCGCAGGGAGTGAGGCGGGCACCAGGGCACCGGGGATGGGGCATGACCCGTCCCTGCTCACACTCGCCCTGCGCTGCCCTGGCCGCAGACACGAGCTCGAATGGAGCCCCTGGCCTGGGTCGCTGATGCCACGAGGAGCCAGCAATGCAGACAGGGCTGTGGCTCTGCTGCTGCTCACCCAGCTCCTGCTCCTGTTCTCCAGCTCTTGCTCCTCAAGGATCCTCCAGGCTGCCTGTGCCTTGGGCAGGTGCCTGCCCCAGGGCTGCCCTGCACCTCCCCGCAGCCACGGGAGCTCCTGCCTGGCTGCAGCCCTGTCCCACGGACCCTGCCGTCCTCACAGCCTCCCACAGCACCGGGGATGTGGATGGAGCATCTGACAGCACCATTGGTGCAAGTGGCTATCAGGGAGTGGGTCATTGGCATGCACTCCCGGTGCTCAGGGCATGCTGTGTGACCCCAGTCCCTTCGGCCTGTCCAGGAAACCCTTCCCATGGCACGTCTGGCGGGTCAGGTCACTTCACTGCCCCTGGCAATGTCAAGCTGGGGATGGTTTGAACGGGCCCAGCTTGTCCACCTGGCATGGCTGCCCTTCTCACATCACCATTTCCCACTCTGCCAGTGCCCATCTCCTCCACAGCCTCCTGCAGGAGGATGAAACCTGCCCTGTTCCAGGTGATGTGCCCTTGCTGCTGGCAGAGGCAGCCCCAGCTCCGGGCATCTTGCAAACTTGCCCAAGGGCCAAGGGTGCATGGGGCTAGGACATGATCCCTGCCTGAGTCACGAGCTGGCGTCTGCTCTGCCGGGGTCCGTCTCCAGGTAATTTAACCCCACAGTCAACAATGTGGCAGGATGGCGTGGCAGTAAATCAGTAACTGTTTGCCTTTGCCTGTGGTCCCCTCCCTGCCGGGTGTTTATGCAGGAACAGGAGCCGGTGCTCAGCCGCCTGCCCCACCGCCGCACCTCGTGTCACCACTGTCGGCAGTGGGAGTGACACATGGGCAGAGGCCTGGGGTGGCAGGGAGGTCATCAAGACAGCAGTTTTCCCTGCACCCTCCAGGATGGGGGCCTGATGAGGAACTGCTGGGACCTGGCCACGTCAGGCTGGCAGGGATGCGCTCACAGTGGGCCCAGGGCCAATACTGGGATGCCAGGAATGAAAACAATCATCTTGCAGCCCAGCGGCTCCTGCAGTAGGGCCAGAGAATAGTGCTGTGTCAGCCAGGGTGGGATGGGGGTGGTAACAGCTGGGAGGTGAGCACACTGCCCACCAGGATGGAGAGGACGGACCTGCACCATCCCTACCTGTGCTGCACAGGGACAGAGCCCACCTGAACCCAGCAGCAGCTTCTCTAGAGCAGCAGCACTGCTGCCAGTCCCACACTGCTCACCCAGGGTCACAGGTGTCCCACTGTGACTTGGCTGTGGCCCTGTGCTGGTGCTGTCTTTGAGCATCGTTGTCCTGGTCTAATCCTGTGACAACTCTGCCCCAGAATGGGGTGACCCCAGCGTGGGGTGACCTGGCAGTGAGCAGCCAGCACCGGGAGGCTGCGAGGGTGGATGCCAGCAGCCAGGACACACAAGATCAGCTGGATGACTGCAGATGGGAGCCCAGAAATGGAAGGCTCATGGGAGGAGACAAGGGGAAAACCACAGGGGAAGCTGAGAGCTGTCAGGAACAGTGTGGGCACCAGTGGTTTTGCCCACAGCTGTGCCTCAGCTCCAAGGTGCCCAGCTGGCTGCTGAGGGGACAATCCAGTTGAAGCTGCCCCCAGCCAGCTGGAGCACCTGGAGAGGGACTGAGCAAGCTGGCAGCAGTGCCAGCAGCTCCAGCCCACGCAGTTGGCATCACCTTCTGGGAGACAGGAATGCTTTGGCACCAGTCCCATTCGGGATATTGGTGTCCCCACCCTGGCTCTGCCAGGTGCTTCTTCAGCAGAGGCTGAGGATGGCTGTGGGGAGTACAGGGGTCTGCCAGCTGTCCCCATGGCCAGGGAGTGTCCTGGATGAGCATATGGGAACAGCAGCCCCAAGCCAGACCTCAAAGGCTCGTCTCTGCTCCATCCATCGGGAGCTGTTCCCACCACCACTGAGCCTGGTCACAGTGGCTGCACCCAAACCTTGTGGGTGACCGTGGCTCCTCCATGGCAGCAGGGAAGGCGCTGGAGTCACGTCTCCTGACTGCTGAGGGAATGTGGTCAATGATTAAAAGGGGCACACAGAGGTGCCCCCAAGCAGTGATCCAGACTCCCGCTGCTGGCACAGAGCAGGGATAGCAAGTACAGGGATACAGAAGGACACCCTATCCTCTGGAGATGCTGCACTCCTCAATCAGCACAGCCCACACCATGGGCAGGGACTGGTTCATGGCCCCTCAGGTCCAGTTCTGCACCTGCTGAGGGCTCCTGCCACACTGCCACAATCCTGCCACCGCCGAGCCCCCGCTGCCCACACTGCCCCTGCAGCACAGACCTGTGGCACAGAGCTTCAGTGGTGCATGGAAGCTCCGGAGCTTGGGATGTGCCTGGCTCTGTGCTGTGGGATTGCTCCTACCTGCTCGTTCCATGTGGGAGCCCAGCCCCAATCAGCCCCACAGCGCTCTAAGGGCTAGCAGAAGGCATCCACCCCAAGCCCCCCAGCACTCACCATTGTCCCTAGCAGTCGCAGGGGCTGCCTGCAGCTGGGCACACAGGGCCAGGATGCCCAGGAACAAAATGATGGTGGTCTTCATGTTGGTGAATGCCACAGGTATGGATGGAGAGCACGGGTTGGCGGGGTTTATATCTGTGTGGGGCTGGGGAGGGGCCATGCACACAATCTTCGTGTGCCAAAACACTCACTGCTGCTGCGTGTCACAGTTGTGCCCGAGGCAGTGACGGCCTGAGAAATGATTTACCTGGCCTTGTCCAGCCCTGGCAACCCGGCTGCAGCAGGGGGAAGGACCCTCAGCACCCTCATGGGGAAAGGGAAATGAGGCTATGGGCTGGGGTCACCCTACAGCCATGGGGAGCCCAGAACTACCTAGCTGTGACAAGTGATTAGATGAATTTGTGGGATAGGAACCCAGAGGGGGTTGCTCAGGAGGATGTTCCCCTGGGGGCTGCTGTCCTGGCAGTGTGTCACTGGAGTGACACAGAGCTGTGGGTCTGCTGGGCTATGCCCATCCCAGTGACCCAGTGCCTGCCTGTCCCAGTCCTGGCCTGGTGCCTGCATCACGCCACGTCTGCCTGTGGAGCCTCAGGGGACAACCGGCTGGGTCCCCGCGGGCAAGCATGGCCTCAGGGGGAGCAGAACCCGTGGGAAGCCTCCATGAGACACAAGGCTGGGTGCACCTGTTGCTGAGCACCATTCCTGCGTGGGGACAGGCTGGTGGCTCAGTGCCGACACGTCGCTGGCTGCAGACATGTCCCAGCAGATGGGTGCTGTGGCGGGGTCAGCACTGGGGCTGCCTCTCACCTCTCCATGCTCCCAGACTGGTGAGAGGTGACCCTGGGATGCCCAAGGTTAAATGTGTGGAGGGGTCACAGAGAGCCCAGACTGAGCATGTGAAGGGTGACCATGCCAAGGGTGAGGTGTGCTCCCTGCTCTTGGGGACCCCACGGTGCTGCCACTGCCGTGTCTGAGACCTTGCCAAGCAGGACCTCTGCTTCCTGCATCCCTTTCCATGCAGACAGGGGCATGGTCAAGGAACTGCAGCCCTGCCAGGGGGCTGTTCTGTGGCTCCTCTCATTGTTGAACATGCAGGCACAGCGAATGGCAAAGGGCACCAGCAGGTGCTGCCAGCAAGTTGGGCAGAAGCCGCCTGGCTTAGCGGGCAGAGCAGGGGACTGGCAGGGCTGCAGGAAAGCACAGCCAGGGCTGCCGTGGATGGAGAGGGACAAAACCAGGCTTTTTGAGGGGCTGGTGGAAGAGATTTGTTCTGTGTTGGAGCTGGACCCTGGCCTCAGCTGGGGTCCCAATGTGGGGGATGGACACCAGGGACATGCCCTGCCTGGGAAGTTGTGACAAGGCCACCCTGCCAGGATGCAGGCATCTTTGCTGAGGCCAATGTGACCTCTGTGGCCTCATCCAGGGTTTTACAGCTCAACGATCGTACTTTCCCACTTGGAAATTCCTGTGTGCGTCATCCCTGTTCTGAGCAGCCGAATGCATTTGTTGTGCCAGAACTCTGTGTCTAAAGCAAAAGGAATCACGAGCAGGAACCAGGGGCTTTGAGAGCAGCCTGGTCACATGTCCCTTTGAGTGACACCTTTGCCCCGATGTGGCATGTGCCACAGTGCAGTGGTGGCGATGCAGGGGCCTCTCCCGAGCAACCCTGGTTTTTTTTGGCTGGCGCTGGCCCTGGGCTCTGCGGGGACCTTGCACTCTTCCTGCCCCAGCTGCTGTGTGCCCGGTGGGTGTCACGGCGTGGAGCGGCATCAGCGATAGCCCACGGCAGTGCGAGCCTGGCGTGTCCTCCGCCACTGGGCTGTGGGGAATGGACCCCCTGGTCTGGGCAGCCCCTTCCCCACCTGCACCCACTTCCCTCCCGCAGCCCCTCCCGGCCGGTGCCGGTGCCTCTGGCGGCTCTCCCCGTCTCCTCCCGCCGTGTGTGGCGGCTCGGGGGCCGGGCCCGTCCTGCTCCCGGTGCCGATCCCTGGCGGCGGCCGGCAGAGGAGGCTGTTGCTCCGCCGGAGCGGACCGGGAGCCGGCCCGGGCTCTGCCAGCGCTGCCCCATCCCCGTCCCCGGGGGTGAGCCAGCGTCAGGAGAATGTGGAGCTGCTGGAGTGGGTCCAGAGGAGGCCACGGAGATGCTCTGGAGCCAGGCTGGGGGTGTTCAGCCTGGAGAAGAGAAGGCACCGTGGAGATCTTACAGCACCTTCCAGGGCCTAAAAAGGCCCCAAGGAGAGCTGGAGAGGGACTTTGGACCAGGGCATGGAGTGACAGAACAAGGGGGAATGACTTCCCACTGGCAGAGGACAGGTTTAGATTAGAGATTAGGAAGGAATTTTTCCCTGTGAGGGCAGTAAGGAACTGGAACAGGCTGTCCAGAGAAGCTGTGGCTGCTTCATCCCTGGAAGTGTTCAAGGCCAAATTGGGTGGGGGTTGCAGCAATCTGGTCCAGTGGAAGGTGCCCCATGTGCTCTAGGACTGCTTGGCCCCAAGCTGGCACCGTGGCTGCTGCTGGGTGCTGACATGGAAGTTCCTGTATGTGGGAGGCAGGGGGCTGGCACCTCATCACCAGCACGCTGTTGCTAGAGCTGGAGGAGCTGAGGGAGGTCAGGCAGGACCACAGCTGTCCCCTAGCTCAGGGTGAGGAGGGTGCCCAGCACAGGCAGGGTACTGCCTGCTACAGCCCCACTCAGCCCCACCTTGAGCTGTCCCTCACAATCTGGGGGTTAAACAGCACTGCCTGCCTGAACACCCGCAGGGATTGCTGCTCAATAGCAGCTCTAATAGCCCCTATCCATAATGCAGTGAAGCCAAGACAAGATGCAAGGGTCTAGGCTGGGCTGGTGCTGGCTGCTCACGGCTCTGTGCCACGCATGGCGCCTGGCTGGTGGCACGGCCACGCGTGGCGCCTGGCTGGCTGCGCGGGAAGGCGGCCTCCCAAAATGGGGATTTTATTACAGCCATACATCACAGCGGCGGCCTGATGCGGGCAGACGGCAGTGATTTTTCTTCATGGTTTACAGACAAATGAGGGGAAGGAAAATTGATGTGAACTTTGCTATAGCGAGAGGTCGGGCACGGGCAGGGAGCTGGTTATGGATGAGCCAGGGACTGCTGGGGCTGCCTGTCCCTGGGGCCCCTCCTGGCCCCCTGCTCCAGGCTGGATGGATGGGGGCACTGGCAGCAAAAGGACTGGGAGCATCGTGTCCAGCATGGAGACTGTGCTGCTGCTTCAGAGGGTTGGAAGAACAGGGGCTCCCATCCCTGTGGAGGGATGCCCGGAGCGATGCTCTGCTGCTTAGGTGGACCATGTGAGTAGATTTATTAATTCCAGCATGGTTTGGCCATGCAGTGACAGGTAGGCTGCTGTCACTGGCTACTGGCGAGACCTTGGCTGCTCTTACCACAATTAAAGTTGCCTCCAAACATTACAGTCCTGCCCAGTGTAAGATAACAGCTAATACCCTCCAATAGCAGTTATCAGCTTCTCCATACGGTCCATAAATATTAATACAATTCTAATTAGTTCCTTTAAATACATTGCCTAAATAAAATGTTTCCAGGGCAATAAATCAGGAGCAGGTTGTCTGCTCACCCTGCTCACACCCATTGCACAGGGACTGATAAACCCCACGGTTTATCATTAACCCCTCACCTTAGATCAGGGAGAAGAGGATTCCAGATGCAGTTTGTGAGCTGGGAACGCCCTGTAACCCTCATCAATAATTCGTTGATGTATTTCTTCAGGTGCACCTGGTTTGTATTCTCAGTGATTTGCTCAATACCAGGACTGCCCATGTCTCACCCTGGCAGACAGTGGCTCTGGATTGATGGCTCTGTGCTGGTGTGCTCCTCTGGAAGATCTGTTCCAGCTGCAGCAGTGCCACAGGTCCCCCTGGCACAAGGCAGTCCCTGACCTGTGAGGCAGGAGGGTGCCTGGGGGGCTGCTGTTCTGTGCAGACCCTGGCCTTCACCCTCACCTCTGAGTCTTCCTTCTGCTGGGAGGTGGCAGCAGTAACCATCCTGCTCAGAGCTCTCCTGTGAGCTGGAGGAGATGGGATCCCTTCAAAGGGGCTGTGTGGGGGGTGAGTGTGTGCACAGGGTGACATTGCTCACAGGGGTGCAAGGGACACAGAGTGCCAGCTGGGGCACAGCACTGTGTCTGAGGGAAGCATGGCATCCATCCTTCCAGCTCTCTGGCTTTGGCAGTACCGGAAAAGAACAAATACCAAGCTCATTTGCTTGAGAAGGAATTAATATGGTGTGAAGCCTGTAGTAGATGATTTAGGAAGTGAATTTAAAATCTCAACACAAATAGATTTTTTTATAAGGTCAGAGGAAAGATTAAATGCTACAGACAAGCACAGCACTTGCCATTTCCAGCATCACTTTCACCATAAATATTTTGGGCTGGTGCTGTCCCTGCGCTGTCCACGTGGGTCTGAGGCTGCTCACCATGGCAGTGTTGGGTGAGCAGGGATGTCCCCACGGAGGGCAGGATGCCTCACCATCCCCTTCCTTACCAGGTTGCTGCCAGCACATGGAAGCAGCCAGTGATGCTCCATGGTGAGAAGAAGGAGAGGTGTGTGTTAGTACTGGAGAAACCAGCTTTAACTGCTCCAGCTTGGGCAGGATCTCTTCCCAGACCCCTCCAGTATTCCTCAGTGGTGCAGGGGGAATCCAAACTGTGGTGCTCACTGTGTGCCCACTGCCAGTTCCTGGCTCCTCCTCCCAGTGCCTGGCAGCGACCAGGATTGATGGCAAGAGATTTGAAAGGCTCCAAATGTGGAGGTTATAGCACTGAGCCACCCCCATCCATCACTGGCCATTCATTACCAAGTAACACCCTGCACGCTGGGCTGATTTCACACCTTATCTGAACCCAGCAGCTGTGCCCTAAATCCTGAGTGCCGAGACTGTCTGGAGGAATTCGGCTGCCTGTGCTTAAAATTAGTGTTAGCATCTATCATTTCCCTACACCAAATGGCTTTTGTGTCGGCACTTGGCAGCGCTCATCCGTCACCGGGGCTCCAGGCTGCCCAGAACCATGCCCTCTCTGTCACTGTCACAGGACCCCTT